GAGAGTGACCCGGCCACGGCCTGCAGCCACTGCTCGGCCTCATCCAGCTCCCCCACCAGCCTCAGTGCCTGCGGGGAGAGCACGGAGCCCATAAGCCTGGCTCTGAGCCACCCAGGGGAGGCAGGAGCCACGCTGCCACCCCACTGTGGGTACCCGGGGCACCGGCAGCTTGGGCAGCACGGTTGGAGCAGTGTGTGGGCTGCGAGGCCAGCTGGAGATGTCAGTGCCAATGCTGCAGCTCCCATCCCTGCAGGCACCAGCCTTGCTTGCCGATCCCCAGCAAGCTGGGGCGTGCCCCTGTGCCCACCCCAGCCCTGCCTCCACATACCTTATCGATTTCCCGCAGCACGGCACCGTTTTCCTGGTGCTTCCTCTGCAGTTCCTCCCACAGCTCCCCCAGCTCCCGCAGCATGGCCTCCACCTGCGGGCTCCTCAGGGGTCCCCCCGGCACCAGCCCCTCCTGGAAGGCAGGGAGGGCAGTTAGGACAGGCCCTGCCTGGTGTAGACCCCACCCCACACCTGAGGGGGCTCACCAGGAGCACAGCCCTGGCACTGGAGCTGGGGTCCAGAGGCTCCCACTGCATCCGTGCTGCCTCCAGGCTCTCCACGTCCCCCACCAGACATGGGGGGACTCCAGGACCCCCACTCTCCTTGTGTGGGGACACAGTCTGCCAAGGAGCAGGGAGACATGGTGCATTAGTGCCCATTAGACCAGGGACAGGTGTGAGTGCACAGGTGTGCATGCCCACAAGCAGCGGGAGGGGGTCAGGGAAGGGGTCCCCCTCGACACTGGCTCCCCTGGCCGGGCTGGGAGCAAAGGGGGGTCTTGGGGAGACATTACTGCATTCACTGCCTGATAGACGTCCTGCACCTGGGCCTCCGGCCGCTGCATTCCCCACTCAGCCTCTGCCTCTCTCCTCCTCCTGCAGGGAGGGGAACAGTCAGGACTGCAAGGTCCCCCCTTGCACAGGGAACTCCCATCCCCATCCCCTCTGACTCCATCCCACTCCCCACAGCCACCTCCACAAGCCAGTACCTTTTGCTGTCCCCTCCATGAGGGGGCTGCCCTGCCGCTGGGGAGCCAGGGCTGCTCTCCTCCCCTCTCTCGTGCTCTGCCATCTTCCCTGGCCCGTCCTTTAGCACCTATGGCACAAAGGCTCCCATTCCTCCTTTGCCAGCCAAAGTGTGCACCGCTTTGCCCCGGGCCTGGCATTTATCACCTCCCATAAGCAGTGGGGCCAGGTCACAGGTGTGCTCAGCTTGGGCTTCGCCCAACATCCGAACCCCTTTCCCACAAGCTCCCCCATCTTCCCAAGGCAGAGGCGCTGGAGACGCCTGGAGGAAGGCAGACACCTGTGCTCACCATGCTCCTGAGGCCCCTTGTCCATTTGTCTCCTGCTTCCTTCCCCACAGCCCCACGGCTGCTATTATCTCCTCGGGGCTCAGCGCTTGGAGCTGCAGCTTCACCCCCCGGGGAACCGCTCGCCAGCACCGGAGCCTTCTCTGTCCTGGGAAAGGGGTGCAAGGGAGGCCCAGGGGAGCAGAGGATGAAGAGAGACCTTAAGAGGAGCTGGTGCCCCAGAGACAGCCTGCCAGGGGCTAACTCAGGTCTTTCCCCAAACTTCTGGCTCCAGTGCTGGGGGGTCAGGGTTGGGGCCCTGGGGCTCCTGCTGGGCTGTGCCCTACCTCAGTGCCTGCTGGAGCTGCGCCCAGCTCTCCTTGACATCTCGGTGCCTGGGGGCGACTCGGGCTGCCAGGCTGGGCTGCAGGCTGAGGAGCTGGGACACAGTCACATCCAGCATCTGGAGGAGAGAGAGCAGCCGGGGAGCGATGACAGGGCTGGCGAGGAATGAGCCACCACAGCCGTGGTGCGAGTGCATGATGGCAACCCACCACCAGCTCTGCGGGAGCAGGAGAGGTGGTGGGTGCCCAGCCCGGTCCCCTGCAGCCCCCGG